ACGTTTCACTTCTGCATGCAATTTATCTCCACATGCGCTCCCTCGTGTCCATGGCAGTGTGCTCAATTCTTCTTCACCCAACCCTTCTCACACATGAGATCACTATTGCAATTGCCCATGTGCTCCTATCTCTCACGTAGTTCCCACAAATATTGTTATTAAACTTTTACACCGCATTTTGGAGTTGAGTCATTGTTCAGGCCGCTAATATCTCTTAGTGTGGCATCATTTGTCCTCTGGCACCTAGACCGTCCCTCATTTATCATCAACTTCCGGTTTCTTAATAGCAAAAGATTTATGCTCTTTTCATCACATTCGTTTTCATGTTTGTACCCTAGTGTTCCATATAGATCCCTTGCCAACCCAATTTCTTTGGTTCCCCTTCACGCATCAACATTTCATTGGATGCCATCCCATCCCTCTCCATTAATTTCTCGTAATGTTTTGGATGACACCAAAGTGATATCACCACCCTAAATCTCATATTCTCTCAAGTGATTTATGTGCCACTTACTACACAGTCTCTATGCTCATTTGCTAAAGTTCTTTGTGCTTCGAATATTGTAAGTTTTCACCCCAATCCATCAAAAAAATTTCAATAATTTTTCAAAACGACTCAAAAATATTGTAACAAAAACAACTTTTAACTTATCAAAGCAATCATACCCTTTTTACCAATGAGATATTTACGTATGTTTGATCACTTCTCTCAATTCTTGATAAATTTTCAATAGTTGACACCAATTTTGGTAATTCATAAATTAATGTCTAATTTATCAGCAATCATCATGTGAATTGATATTAAATTCGTAAATTAATGTCTAATTAATGGGTAACTACTCCATTGAACTCATCGGCAATCATCACATCATCATATGACCTTTAGAATCAAACTAGACTAGACTTTTTCCACATGTTATATCACTAACTTCACAATACACATGTTAAAATGATCCCCATCTGATTGCTTCATGTAACCCTCTATTACTACAAATTGGAACTCATTTCCATAAATGCTTACATTATTTCAACAAATTTATTTGCTTTTTTCTTTACATTTAAGAAAAAAAATTGTTAGTGAATGTCGTGACAACCATTCTTTCCTTCTATAGCTAGAATTTTAATGAAATTAACTTTAATCTCCATAAATGAAGGGGTATGGATTACATCTTCGTCAATGGCATATTAATAGGTTGTGGAATTTTAGCATATCCCATAGTAGTGTTCGTCCTATTATATTTTTTTGCATAAATTCTCAAATTATTTCAAGGTTCATCCAGAGCTAAGAAAATTTAAATATCATGCACAATTTTTTTCCATCAAATGCTCAAAATCAACCTTCTATCCAATTGGTGGATGAACCCTGCTTCATCATTTTAGGTTTGTTATCAAAATTTGGATCCATATTCACACTATATGAAAAAAATGGTTAATATTCCAGCACCCACACTAGCCCCTTAGTGTCAGTCACTTCATAATCAACTGATATTATCATTAAAAATAATACTCTTGTCCATAAAACACTTCGACTTCATCTTAATTGTGATAATAATAAAAATAATAATAATAATAATAACATATCTCAACAAACTATCTAGTTCAAACTGGAGTTTTCGAAGTATTGATTCTCTAATAGATAAGAGATTTAATATTATTTACCCCAAAAGGGGTAGGAATGAGAAGAAAATGTATAGGCACTAAACTATATTCTCAAGGTTTCAGAGCTAGATGTTTCAAATGAATAATTTTATAACTTATATTATCCATGGGTTGCATCAAGCTTGATCTTCTTGTTATACTTCTTTTTCAACAATTCTTATTAATTATCTTAGTTGTGCACATATGTTTATCTACTTAATATATTTTTCCTTTAAAAAATATATAAATTAGTGTATTTTCATATAATTAGTTTATGTTTAATGAGTTAACACAATACATGGCACGAAGCGTATAATAATAAGGTTAAACAAGCGGATCATTTCAGATTATTCATCAGGTTGACTGAAAACCCATACAATCAATCGTTTATATGAGTCGTGTTTTGGTCAGTGGGATCTGACTAAATTCAAGCTCAAGTCATTATTAACTCATTAAAAAATAACTCAGGCTAAAAACATTATGGCGGGTGGGTCAATTTCAAGTCTAACTAAACCCATTCACCTAAATTGATACTCCCATTTATACTGGCTAAAATTCTTGCTCTTCACCATCATTACTCCTAATATACCCACAAAGAAAAACAAATCAAATAAACTTTACAAGTAAAAACCTAAGAAAAACATAAAAAAAAAGAAAATTTTATAATTAACCAATGTATGGCTAGATTTAACACTAGACATAACAGATGTTGAAACCCCATGTTTTTGAATGTTAACAGGTGTAAGCTCATAACATTAGAACCATTGTCTTGTTCACTATCTCCATCTAACTTTCTATATGAAGATGAAAGGTGGGTTCTTCACACGTCCATGTCCATCGGGCTCCATATAAACCATCAAAAGTAGCAGGAAACCACCATCCTTAACAAAAATACAGGAGGGCGGCAATATAAAGTGCTTCCATGCATAATAAGAAAAACGACTTCAATGACAATCTTTTTGCAAGGCTTCATATTCTTCTTGTTGAAGCACTCAATTATAAAAATAAGGTAATTGAATTGCCGTTAGACTCCAATAGTCCCGCTAAGAAGTCAACCATGATAGACCCTCGGCGACCTACCGATATGTACTTGAAGAAGTCTATAAGAGCCTACCATTCAGTTTAACAAATTGAAAATGTGTAGAGAAGGCGTTCTCTCATGAATTGCTGCACATCAAAGTTCACTTTTTGTCGGTAAATGTAATGTTTCATATTTTTTAGAGTTTTATTCACTCAAAAGTTTCCTTCCACCCTTGAAATGTGTGCCCCCATATCCAAGTCAAACTGTAGGCATCCATTCTCACTCATGGGCCACAACTAATCTTCAAGCTAGATAAATACATCCATATGAATAGAAGTAATTGCATTGGACAAGAGCCTTCTAGGTTTTCTAAAGGTCTATTGTGTGCATGTTTAACTTGGTACATTGTCATAACATGCATGGTCGCAAATAAAGCCACAAAAGTGCATATGATTGAATGGGAAAACATGCCTACCATCTTATTTTGTGCACCTTTCATCAAGTTGAATTTAATGGGTCTCGTATCAACTTTATATGTTGTGTTGGCTACAACTAGGACTTAGTTTGTTGATATTGTAATGATCTAACTATTTGAGTGAAAAATCGGATCCTTCTGCGGCAAAGCATTCCACCAGTAACTCAAAACCTGATAAAAGACAAATAAGGGGTAATTTTTGTGGGCTCTCTAGAACAACTGAAAATGTTAGGCTACTTGTCCGCAGTCATAAATGAAGGCAGCATGAATAATATAGCAAGTTGAATTAGTCTCCCAATCAAATGAAAATTTCATGGCAGGAAAGACTGGTATTGGTGCCTAAGTAATCTTCTTATTGAAATTGGTAGGTGTTCTCTTCATTTTCCCCAACTCAAAAGGGGCAGCCAACACCACTAAGAGAATGCAAATGTGCAGCCAAATAAGCTAAATGGTGCATGAACTTGCATGAAATCTAAAAAGTTCCCATGAAACTACAAACTTCAAAATTTATGCACATTACAAGCCATGCTCAGATTACTGCTACCATTATCTGAAGTTCTCCTCGACCCATGATAAAAAATAGACAACAGAATTTAAGGCCCTCTACCCACGATGACACCTAAATAAACAAGTTTGTGGCTCCCAAATTCACACCTTTTGAGATTAGTTATTGTTTTGGCATATTTCAAAGCCTCGGAAAAGGAGCGATAGTGGCTCCCCCAAGTTCTCCTGTACATTGCAATGTTGTCAAGGTAAAAAATGGTGAATTTGTAAGGTAAGGATGGAGTATTTCATTCAGCAACCGCATAAAATTTGACGGTGTGTTGCACAATCCAAATGGCATCCTTCATATTTTGCATGGAGCTTGCCTTTTCCTTGATGAATTTTGTCTGACTATGCTCCTCTAGGACTCGAATTTAGTGGTATTTAGATCTAAAAAGCATCTTTGAAAAGTATATATTTGACACCAGATTGATGAACTCCTCAATTCATGGCTAGTAACCATATATAATATGATTTCATTCACTTCTTATAGTCAATACACCTTCATCTCATGCAAAAGAAGTTATAGAAGTTCAAATCAGCATAAAGTATCATTTTAACTTGCTCAAATAAGACTGAACCAAGAGACGAGAACAGCACTACTATGTGTTTAACAAGGCAATAAAATCTATCATCTAAACTTATTACATTTATAACACCTAAATCTTTCAAATCACATAAAAAAATACCACCATTTTATTTTTTTTAAAAGTGAAATACACCTTTTCATGCATAGGTAAGGTGGATTGTTGGTAAAAATTGAAGTCCAGGTGATAGATACCTAAATACATGAAAATTTAGTGGCATGTATGTAAATCTTCCTAAAAAGAAACCTTGCAACGTCATGCCAGAAAATAAAGAGGTGTTTGATAGTATACTATTAATTGGATTTAGCCATGGATTCAACTTAAATCCAACCAAACATTAAAACAATAAAAATTAAATCCAACTCTCTGTTGAATGCAATTTTCCCGCATTCCCTCTTTCACTTCTCACCTTCCGTAATTTTTAAGACCTAAATTCAGATTTCGTAAATCCGACTACGACTCAAATTTATTCCGCTATCGCTCGCAAATTCTTCAGTCGCAGCAGGAATCAGATAAATCCAGATTTATAAGATTTGATAAATCCTATTCAATATGAATCTAAGATGCAGCCAAACACCGCCTTAGTAAGATACACATGAACTTAATCATGCAAACAAGTTCAAGTGAAGTATAAATAAAAAATTAAAAAGCATCTATAGTCATAATGTAAGCAAAATTAAAACGATTTATACACAGAGAAGCATATTAAAAAGAATCTGATTTGATAAATGTTAACCTTTTCCAAGACAAAATTCATGTTCTCTCCCGACCTTAACTTCTCGTTAAACCTGACAGCGACATCTGAATCGACTGCATGAGAATGGAAGGCATCATCTTCTTCCCGCCTTTCCTCATAGCTTTCCAAATCCTGCAACTTAACGCAAGAAGTTTCCTCATGCCCCACCTTCGCTACCCTCTTATTCCCAAATAAACCACTATTGAATACTGCTACTTTTTCTTCTCCCTCCTCCTCCTGACTCATCGGCAAGCAATCCGAAGCCGCATTTCCAACCTTGAAGTTGATCGGAAGCGACCTTCTCGCAGATGGCAGCCGCCCTTTAGACGAAGGCCGGCTGGGCAACGCCGGCGGCATATCATTCAGATTCTCATCTCTCCGCTGAAGAGTCTCGAGCATCTCTTCAAGCGAACTACGGACAATCATGTCTGCGGGATTCATCCTCAAGTCAAGCTTCAACAATTTTCGATCATCCTCCAGAAAAATTGCACAAGAAAAGAATTGAAAACCCGTCTACCTCTTCCAATTTATTAAAAATTAAAAGCAAATATCCAAATTGATAATTGCCGTGAATATATCAAGGCGAACGCGGGAAGGCAAGACTGAAGGTAATTCCGTTGCGACTGAAAACAAAACCGAACCCTAATTACAGCCGGCCGTTGAGGAAGTTATGGGATGAAGAAAACGCCAAAAACGAAGATTCAGGTGGGCTCGTTTCCACAAAATTCAAATTTTTTAGACCAGCAGGAACATTGTGGATGAAGATAAGAATTTCCGACGGGAAAGACGGAACTGAAAGAAATCTGGGGGAGACGTAACGGAGGAAACAATGCTCGTCGTGGGAAAGAAATAGGCGCATTTCTTTAATCCTTAGTGGCTTCGCATTTTTGATTAACAAAAAGATGCTTTTGATCTCCAACGGAAGGTCCTAAAGTCGCGGGTTTTTTTTTTTTTTTTGCTTGGCCGGCCAGGCAGAGTTTATCTCAACGACAGCTTTAAAATTTGTTATATTTGGAGCATTTACATTCATACATTCAATTTTTTATATATTTGTGATTTTAATATCTATTTTTCTCATATTTTTAAAAGGGCTTTTCATGTACCACAGCCCTCAAACTTTGTCATTTGCATCTCACAGCCCCAAAATCACTTTTTACATGTTAGGGTCTCTATTAAGCCCTCTGTGCATCGTCATTCCAAAGTTGGAAAGGTGAGAAAAGAAAAAACGTGATTGTTCGAGTCACCAACGATTTTAACTCGTCATTGCAGCACCTGTCGCTATCCCCTCCTCATCTCACATCAGAAACTACCTCAACATTGATGTACGTGCATGCATTCGCTCGTCATATCATCATTTGCTTCCTAGCACACCACGAGCCTCATCCCCGAAACCCTCGTCTAACTTTCCCTTCCGCCTGCTCCTCCTCGAAACCACCAAAAAAGAACGACGACGGACGGAGACGTAACAAAGACCCTAGCGTGCAAAATGTGAGTTTGGGAGCTGCTTGTCATGCTCCACCATATTTAAGAAATTGGCAAAACAACTATGAGATGGAAGATTCTAGAGAAGATTCTATCACATTCTAGAGTATGTTAGAAGGAAAAGCTTCAAGCATAACTTAAGAATAACCTAGAAAGGTCTAGGGTTATGTATGAGAATAGTGTAGAACCATCTAGAAACTAGACAATTCTAAGATAATTTAGAAAGTTCTCTTAAGCTTGGGGAGGACTATAAAAAGGAGTCCATCCCCTCATTTGAAGGCATCCAAGAAAACCTTCCAAGCTTCCAAGTGTTGTACTCTTTCTTTCTTAGTGAAATGTTTCTTTCTCCAATATTTCCCCCCATTTTTCTTCTAAGAGTTTTTTGTACTTACAAGTCTGAGCGCTGTGAGGGCTATGTTGATTTAGTGCCAAGAAAGAGCGCTAAAATCACACGGGTGACATCAGATAAGTTATTCTGTGATAGTTGGTATCAAAGTCAATGTTCGAAGGTATGACAAAGAGCATTAAAGAGCACATAATAGAGTCTGAAGCTACTAATGTAGAATCATCTAAACAAGGGTGAGGTCGTCAGGAGCAACAAGATCCAACTGCATCCAAACCACATGGGAGGTCCAAGGAGATTATGCACGGATTTGATTCGCACCTTATTCAGGTCGAGGAGGCAATGAATGACATGGATGCCCAGATAGAGAATCTTTACCAAAAGGTTTATGGACTCAAGGAGGAGGACATCATAATCCATTCTACAATCTGAGGTATGATGCTCCAACTGGAGGAGTTTTTAAAGTACCAAGTGGCTAAGATGTGGGAAGACTTGATAGGAAGCTCAAGGAGGTACGAAGAGCCCATGGAGACGAGTGAGCAGCGTACTTGTTGGCTTAGAGGAGATGTGCGGAGACATTTTGTTATGCAAGAGGGCACTAACACGTCCATCAACCATCATAATTTTGAAGCCAAACGCATCGAAGTACCAAAACCTAAGAGATTTTGGGGAGCTCGCAGCATGAAGGAAGTAGACAACTTCCTGTGGGGATTCAACCAATACTTTGGAGCGATGGGGATTACAGATGAAGAGGCAATAATACAATTTTCAACTCTTTATCTCTCAACCATTGCTATGTTATGGTGGAAAAGAATGTGTGGAGTCATCGAGAAAGGCACGTGCACCATATCCATCTTTGATGACTTTAAGAAAGAGTTAAACAGGCAATTCTACCCTGAGAATGTGGAGGATGAGGCTAGAGCCTGATTACGAAGGCTCAAACAAGAAGAATTGATTTGGGAACATATTAGGGAGTTTACAAGCTTGGTTCTTCAAATTCCCAACATCTCAAGAATATTCTTTTCAACTTCATGGATGGACTCCAACAGTGGACAAAGATTGAGCTTAGGAGACGTGGAACAAGATCTCACCACTGTCATCGCGGTCGTAGAAAGTCTAATCAATTACTCAAACGAGTTCATGAAACCTAAAGATAAGAAGAGTACCCATGTCAAGGGGAGAGAAGACAAGGATCAACACAAGGAAGAGACCTGTCATGAATTAACTTCATCCAAAGCAAGTTAAATGGAAGTCTAAAAATGAGAACCAAACCGCATAACAATTGCTTCATTTATGGAGGACCTCATTTGGCAAGGGATTTCCTTCAAAAGAAGGCTCTAAACTCTCCCCTTGCAAGCCCTCAAGAAGAAGAAGATGGCGACACATCGACACAAGTAGGGTCTATACAACTGTTGAATGAGATAAAAGCTCCATAAAAACTTCAAGCAAATGGGTTACTCTATGTGGAGATGGTAATAAGCAGGAAGACCACTAAAGTAATGGTGGACACTGGTGCTTCTCACAACTTCATCTTCGCTGAAAAAGCAAAAATGTTGGGTTTGCGGATGATCGAAGGAGCGGGCTCCATCAAAGTAGTCAAGTCAGTAGTAAGACCAATCCATAAAATTGTCGGGGGAGTAAAGACCAGTATTAGAGTGTGGACAGGTACCTTAAACTTCTCTGTAATTCTGATGGATGATTTTAAAGTTGTTCTAGGAATGAACTTCTTGGACACGCGAGAGCATTTCTAATGCCCTTTGCCAGTAGCATGTGCATCATGGAAGGGAATCAAGATTGCTTAGTACCGACAACAAGGGCTAACAAGTATGAAGTCAAAATGTTGTCAGTCATCCAATTCAAGAAAGCCATTCCACGAGATGAAGAGAGCTACTTGGTTATTCTTCATGACTCCAATGAGGAAGGGAAGCCCCAAGATGACATGCCAAGGGAAGTGGTGCTAGTTTTTGAGGAATATAAAGGTGTTTTAAAAGAACTACCACTAAGAAAGAAGAAAAATCATCAAATTAAGCTGAAGCCAAGGACTGAGTCGTCAGTCATGAAGTCTTGTTGCATAGTAACCCATACAACCAGGGAAAACCCCAAGTTTGCCAAGTCAGTGAGCAAGCAAAGGGGGTTGGTCCGAGTGCCACTACGAGTTGAAAAGAAAAAGAGACATGTGGACGCAAGGAAAAAAAAAAACTTTTGATTGTACAAAGCGGAAGTCGCAATGAGAGTATTGCGAGCTTAAGTGGGGAAGAGTGTCACACTACACTATATTTAAGAAATTGGCAAGACAACCAAGAGACATAAGATTCTAGAGAAGACCAGAATGTAAATAGTCATCCAAGGAATTCTAGAATATTCCACCATACTCTAGAGTATGTTAGAAGGAAAAGCTTTAAGGATAACTCAAGAATAACTTATAAAAGTCTAGGGTTACATACGAAAATAGTGTAGAACTTTCTAGAAACTAGACAATTTTGATGTAATCTACAAAGTTCTCTTAGACTTGGGAATGACTATAAATAGGATTCCCTCCCCCTCAATCGGAGACATCCAAGAAAACCTTCCAAGCTTCCATGCATTCAAGTGTTGTACTATTTCTTTCTTATTGAAGTGTTTTTTTCTTCAATACTTCCTCTTCTTCTTCTAAGAGTGTTTTGTGCCTACAAGTCCAAGCGTTGTGAGGGCTAGGCTGATTTAGTACCAAGGACAAGCACTAAAGTCGCATGGGTGACTTCAGATAAGTTAGTCTGTAGCACATGGGATGTAAATAGCAAGGTTTGGGAGCAGCGGTATGTAAAAAACCATTTTTAAAATTATATTAGAAATACTATTATTGCTCGCCTTTTGAAATAAAATGCATCTTCTTCAAATAATATAAATATAAATATTAAACTATAGGGCCTATTTGGTAATGGATTTAGAGTTATATGAATTGGAGGATCAACTCAAGCAAAGCATAAACAAATATAGAGAGCAAAAGTTTAATCAAATTTCAAGGTTAATTTACAATTTCACAATATCTAGCTTTGTAATTGAATATAGGTGTAATATATATGCATAAAATTTTCTTGTTTTTATAGAATTTTTGGTGTTAAATTCTTCATCTTTTGCCTATAAATTTGTTATCCAAGCATAAAATTGTGTTTCTAAAATATATATATATATATATATATATATAGCAATTTAAGATATAAGTACAATTTTTTTAAAATAAGTACAAGAATTAATATTTATTATTTATTTAAAAGATTGGTATTTAAGTCTTTTTATGTGAAAATGCTACTTCTACTAACAACCAAACAAGAATGAAAAACTTATTAGGTCTGAAAAAACACAAAGAAAGTTGTTTATCCAAACAATATATCGACTTTTAAAAGTATCCAACTTTAAAACACCATTTTTTAAAAACATTTTAGAAATAAACTTTTATAATATGAGAAGATTAACCAATTGAAAGTCGATATTCAATCCTAAGGTATTAGAGCCTATAGGAATAAACTTCAATTGATTGTATTATCTAGAGTTAATTAAATTCATAACTTCCTTCATTTAAGAATATAATAATTTACATATACGTACACATATTAAATCTTTGAAGGTCCATTAAAATACATATAATTTGATGAATAAATAGGTTAATTGCAAGCTATTTATATTTTGAATTCTCTTTGTGTAGAGTCGCTAGTTACAACTTGTTGCTGCTTAGAAGTATCTTTTCAGACGTCTTGTAATAAGTAACTATTTTTTATTAAAGAATAAATGTATCATTCCTTTTTAGGGGCGTTAATCTTTATTGTTTGTAGTATCTTCATAATTATTTCATAGAATTGTAAGTGATACATCGGTTCTTCGATTATTATTATTATGTTGTTGTTTTATATGCTTCTATTACTGCTCATAATGAAGTAACCAACTGCATGAATGTATTGATGTAAAATTTTTGCATATTTGAACTAATGTTGTAATTATGATATTTTATTGCATGTGAATTCTTGTCATAACGCAAGCCTCTGTGAAATAATATAGTTCTTATATATTATACATGTGAAAAATGTTGGATATGTTTGTGTGTGATAATATGTAGGTCGGTGCAACCCTTTTGGATATGGGCTAGTCAGGCTGATGGGCCCACAATGTGACAACTCAACAGGAAATAGTCGGATTTCCTTAGGTTGGTGTTTGACT